TGAAATATTACCTATTGGTGCTATGCTCATTATCTGGATGACAGAATTTGTACCCCAAAGTTAGGTATCATGCAATATAACATTTAACAAAACTGCACATGAACCCCCCTGAATCTAAAATAAAAGTTGAAGTTATAAATAAAAATAAAAATTTTAGAAGACATAGAAGAAAAATCTTTATGACTTGGGGTTAGGCAAATAATTCTTGGGCATGACAGCAATGACATGAACCATTAAGAAAAACTGTCTAAGTAGGACTTCATGAAAATTAAAAGCTTTTGTTGTGTTAAAGAGAGATTAGGAGAAAATATTTACAAATCACATCTCAGTCAAAAGACCTATAGAAAATATACAGATAACTATATATTTCCCAGTAAATAAAAACTAAATCCAATCAGACTATGAGTTAAGTAGGATAAACAGGTAAATAAGCAAAATAAAAACACTAAAATGATTTCCAATATGTTTTAATAATGAAAATTAAATCTGTGATAAAATAAACTACATACTTATCAGAATAAAAATATTGATAATACCAAGTGCTAAAGAAGATGCAATGCAACTGGATATTTCAAAAATTGCTGGTGGGAATAAAAAATGGTACAGCTGGCCAGGTGCGGTGCCTCCCTCCTGTAATCCCAGCATTTTGGGAGTCTGAGGTGAGTGGATCACGAGGTCAGGAGATCGAAATCATCCCAGGCAATATGATGAAACCCCATCTCTACTAAAAATACAAAAATTAAATACACATTTATTATACAACACAAGGATGGCAATGATTCATTTTACAACCCCATGTTCCTGCATAGTAATCCTAGAGAAATAAAAACTTCATTCAAAAACCTGACATGAATGTCCATAGCAGCTTCAGTTGTAATAGCAAAACCTGTAAATAACACAAATGTACTTCAATACAAATGCATAAACAAACTTTGGTACAATTAGATACTAGAATGCTATTCAGGAATTAAAAAGAAATTATTGACACATATAATAACCTGGATAGAGCTCAAGGGCATTGTACTTTGTAAAGAAAAGAAAAATCGATCTCAAACATTCACATATTGTATGTTTTATAACTATATCTGTATCTGAGCAGTGAAATTATAGTGATGTAGAACAGATCTTTGGTCTCCAGAGGTTAGGAGGTTTGGGAGAGGGTATGACTGACTATTGAGAAATAACAAGAGGAAGTTTCTTTGTGGTAATAAAACAGTTCTATATCCTGATTGGGATGACAGTTACATAAATCTACACATGTGTAAAATTTCATAGAATTCTACAAACACACACACACACAAAATACACGTAACAACTGGTGAAATTTGAATGAGTTAATAGTAGTTACCAATGTGAATTTTCTGGGTTTGATAATGTACTATGGTTATATAACATAGTATCATTGGGACAAGTTGAGTGAAGGGTATACAGGAATTTTGTGTACTTTTTTAAAATGTCCCAAAACTCAAACACAAATAATGGCAACAAAAAAATCCAATGCAAAAATTGTAATAATAAAGAAAAAAGTAATCTTTAAGTTATATATTTTCCCTAAATTGAACTAAATACTTACTGAATTTCAATTTTAAAAGTACAGCACTTTTGTTTGTGAAATTACAAGCAGAATCTAAAATTTCTACAAGAATGCAAACAATCAAAAACAGAAAACTTGAAAACAAAAAGAAAGACAAAAAATAAGATAGGATGATTATTCTACCTAATATCAAAACATTTTATAAGGCTACAAAAGTTAATATACTGTGATATCTGTTCAGTAATAGAAATATAGACAAAGGGTAAAAATGGTCAGTCTATTAATTGTCCCACATAGATACATAATTAATAATAATACCTAATCTGCCACTGAGGCCTTTTCAATAAATAATGCTGGGTCAGTATGTAACGATCCAACAACACATATGCAAAAACTAATTTGAAAAGAATTATAATGTTAGCATAGTAGACTATCTTTATGACTTGGATTAGGCCAAGATTTCTTAAAGAAAACCAAAAGAAAAACCACGAAATAAAAGATTGATGAATTTATCTTCATACAACTAAAACTTTCTGCTCATAAAACATCTCCGTTGTAAAAGAGATGCAAGCCATACATTGGAAGATATTGGGCAAAATATTGATATCCAACATGCACAAGGAATTCTTAACAAATCAGCCAGAAGAGTCAGCTCTCCCTCCCCACCAATATGTTAGGATAATGATTTCCTTTGTGAAGGCATCGACTTGGAAGAGACAAAAGGAAGACATAAAGGGAACTAGATGATCTTTTTGTTGTAGTTACGCAGATACATATGATTTTTACATATGTAAAAAATTTACCAGCTGTACAATTAAGATTTGCATGAACAGTATTAAATAAATCTGTATTAATGTAAATAAATTGCACTTTGAAGATGAACGAATTCTTTTTTATTGTATTAGGTATTTATTTTAATTTATTAAAATTATACTTTAAGTTCTGGGGTACATGTGCAGAACGTGCAGTTTTGTTACATAGGTATACATGTGCCATGGTGGTTTGTTGGACCCATCAACCCATCATCTACATTAGATATTTCTCCTAATGCTATCCCTCCCCTAGCCCCCCACCCCTCAATAGGCCTCAGTGGGTAATGTTTCCCTCCCTGTGTCCATGTACTCTCATTGTTCAACTTCCACTTATGAATGAGAATATGCAGTGTTTGGTTTACTGTTCTTGTGTTAGTCTCCTGAGAATGATGGTTTCCAGCTTCATCCATGTCCCTGCAAAGGACATAAACTTCTCCTTTCTAATGGCTGTATAGTCCTGTGGTGTATATGTGCCATACTGTCTTTAGCTAGTCTATCATTGATGGGCATTTGTGTTGGATTCAAGTCTTTACTATTGGAAATAGCTGCAATAAACATATGTGTGCATGTGTCTTTATAGTGGAATGGTTTCTAATCCTTTGGGTATATACTCAGAAATGGGATTGCAGGGTCAAATCGTATTTCTGGTCCTAGATCCTTGAGGAATCACCACACCATCTTCCACAATGGTTGAATTTACACTCCCAGCAACAGTGTAAAAACGTTCCTATTTTTCGACATCCTCACCAGCATCTGTTGTTTCCTGACTTTTTAGTGATGGCCATTCTAACTGGCATGACATGGTATGTTATTGTGGTTTCAATTTGCATTTCTATAAGGACCAGTGATGATGAGCTTTTTTCATATGTTTCTTGGCCACATAAATGTTTTTGTTTGAGAAGTGTCTGTTCATATACTTTGCCCACTTTTTGATGGGATTTTTTTTTTTCTTGTAAGTATGTTTAACTTCCTGGTAGATTCTTGCTATTAGCTCTTTGTCAGATGGATAAATTGCAAAAATTTTCTCCCAGTCTGTAAGTAGCCTGTTCACTCTGATGATTCCAATAGGAAGAGAGGAAGTCAAATTGTCTCCGTTTGCAGATTACATGATTGCATACTTAGAAAACCCCATCGTCTCAGCCCAAAATCTCTTTAAGCTGACAGGCAACTTCACCAAAGTCTCAGGATACAAAATCAATATGTAAAAATCACAAGGATTCCTACACACCAATGATAGAGAGCCAAACCATGAGTTTTCGCCCATTCAGAATTGCTGCAAAGGGAATAAAACACCTAGGAATACAACTTACAAAGGATATGAAGGACCTCTTCAAGGAGAACTACAAATCACTGCTCAAGGAAATAAGAGAGGACACAAACAAATGAAAAAATATTCCATGCTCATGGATAGGAAGAATCAAAACCATGAAAATGGCCATACTGCTCAAAGTAATTTATACATTAATTGCTATCCCCATCAAGCTGCCATTGACTTTCTTCTCAGAATTAGAGAAAACTACTTTAAATTTCATATGAAACCAAAAAAGAGCCCATTTAGCCAAGACAATCCTAAGCAAAAAGGACAAAGCTGGAGGCATCATGCCACCTGACTTCAAACTATACTACAAGGCTACAGTAAACAAAACAGCATGGTACTGGTACCAAAACAGATATATAGAGCAATAAACAGAAGAGAGGCCTCAGAATTAATGCCACACATCTACAACCATCTGTTCTTTGACAAACCTGACAAAAACAAGCAATAGGGAAAGGATTCCCTATTTAATAAATGGTGCTAGGAAATCTGGCTAGCTATATAGAGAAAACTGAAACTGGACCTCTTCCTTACACTTTATACAAAACTTCACTCAAGATGGATTAAGGACTTAAGCATAAAACATAAAACCATAAAAACCCTAGAAGAAAACCTAGGCAATACCATTCAGCACACAGACATGAGCAAAGACGTCATGACTAAATCACCAAAAGCAATGGCAACAAAACCAGAATTGACAAATGGGATCTAATTAAACTAAAGAGCTTCTGCACAGCAGAAGATGAATAAATTCCAGTTGGAGCTGCAACATTATGTTTCTTAATGACTTAAAAATTACACATTAAAGAGAATATATAGGCAGTGTAAAAGAAACAGCCAGAAGGATTGAAGATAGCAGGTAATATCCAAGATCAGTTCAATGCCTCATCTTGCTTCTATGTCTCTGGGTGCTAGAGCCTCGTATATTTTAAGTAACTCCTCATTCAAAATTTTGTTTCTACCATTCATGCTCTTGTATAATCTGTCTCTATCAAGTACTCCTTCTTTAACTTTAGAGATTCATGAGAACCGTATCAGCTCATTTTAAAACACACAATGGGAAATCACTAAGAGCTTCCAGAGACAATGTATCTTCAATATAAGTGTCTGAAAGTTAACCCACCATTTTGAAGATTTTGGAGATTTTGAAGATTTTCTATGGAAACCTTTATTAAGAAATTAAGAGTAGAAACATCTGCAAATTTAAAATGCAATAAGAAATGAGCATATAATTTCTGAAATTATTTAAAATTGTTATTTTATATTTAATTTCACTGTGGTCAGATAACAAGTCTGAAATACCACTTCTTTGAAACATATTTCTATTTTTATAGGTATTTTGTGCATTTTTATTCATGTCTTACATTTGCTTGGAGATAATGTTCATTCTGTGTTTTTGTTGTTGTTGTCATTGTTTAGCTTTCTCCTGTATATTAGGCTTAATTTTCTGGTTAGAATTTTTTATTCTTCCAAAATTTTATAGGACTAGTTTACCATTTTTTAGCTCAACATGTTTTAAAATAATTTCTCTGATGGTGAATGAAGCTGGTATGAGTAATGAAATTTCCACGACTACATGTGCTTGTGTAATTTTCATCCATTCTAAGAGAAGAGTTTTTAGATGGTATAAAGGACAGAAATTATGCAGTTCTGTTCCTTTCTCACCCTAACACTGGGTAAGGAGATAATTAACAAGAGTAGCAAACTCTTAGTCTTAAACAGGTGATGCTCTCTCCTGTCATCCTCAAGTCTTCCAAGGAGACAAGAGTTTACTTAACAACCTTCTCTCGAGACATGGGCTCAGGATTTACATGCACTGGTGAAGGTATTATCTTAAATACATTACTGCTTTGGAAACTGAAGCTCTAGATGAAGAAGGAAACTCCTCTCACTTGTTCTAAAACAAGCCCCTTTTGAAATTCAGGATGGTCTGAAATGGCGGATTAACTTTCAGACACTTATATTGAAGATACATTGTCCCTGGAAGCTCTTAGTTATTTCCCATTGTGTGCTTAAAACTTATATTATTTCTTAAGTGTGTTTTACATAAAGGAAATATAGTCTTTATCATAAAACTCTCTAAGACAATGTGATATCCAGTCTCTGATTACAATTTGGCTTTGATAACCACAGCTTTCTGCCATCATTATCTAGCTTGTGTCTTTATAAATAAATAATCTTTTTTTGTTTTGCAAACCCCAGACCTTTAGAAGGTGTCTCAAGTTTTTCATCAGAAATATCTCTCCTCACCTATGCCTTGACAGAAGTAAGGTGACCCAATAATGTATAATGTTGTTGAATGTTACTCAGCTTTGATAACTCACTGTTAGTAACTGTTAAGATTCAGCCTGATTATGCAATTCAGAGTTCATATCCATGGACCTACGTCCATAAGTCAAGGTAACCTTAAAACATGTGAAGAAAAGAGAACTTAGTTGTAATTTAAAGCAATTTTATAACGCAATTACAGTGAGACTCTGGGAAAAGATAAATATTACTTAAATGAAAAATTACATAAATTTGAAAAGGTTTGCCTTTAAACACCAAATAAAAATGGACTGTGGAATAAATACAAAAGAAATGTGACAATATAGCAGTTACATTTTAGTTGTGGACTTCCCCTTTTTTCGTGCAACTATATTTTAAAATATAATTTAAAAATAATGTTATTTGTCTTTGGTAGATTCCTCTTATTTAGTTTTTTTTAAATTTTATTATTATACTTTAAGTTCTAGGGTACATGTACATAACATGCAGGTTTGTTACATATGTATACTTGTGCCATGTTGGTGTGCTGCACTTGTTTATCGTAGAGCATACACATCGAAAATAACACTCAAAATACATTATTGAACATAAATAAACTATTCCAAGTTACAATACAAGCTCTGGGGTCACTTTTTAATATTTCCTTGCTGTGTGAAATTGGGAACAATATTTCCATGTGTTAATTTTTTTTTTTTTAGAAAGTAGGAGATATTGTCAACAGTACTTATATCATGGGGTTGTTTTAGGATACAAAGTAATATATAGATTTTACTTCACTTGAAGAAAAGTACATAAATGCTCAAAAATGGTTTCTGTCAATACAATTGTCTCACTTCCTTCAAAATATCTTATTATATAAATGCAGAAACTTAATTTTCTCTTCATGAATTATTGAAGGGAGAGATTACAATGTGTTAAAATGTTAATAAATTCAGGAACTTAAGATTCATTTGACACTAGATCATCTTGATCTGTGGGCCTCATTTTGCTGGTGTTTTATGTTTACACACGTCCCCAGCCACCGTTTCAGGGCTCCCTTGACCTCACTGTTCCTCACACTGTAGATGAGGGGGTTTAGCAAAGGGGTGAACACAGTGTAGAAGGCTGACACAACCTTATCGTGGTTAGTGGACCTATGAGATTTGGGTCTCATGTAGGTAAAAATGGCAGCTCCATAAAAGAGTCCCACCACAGCCACATGTGAAGAGCAGGTGGCAAAGGCCTTCTTGCGGGCTTCTGTAGAGCGCATGTGGAGAACAGCGGCGAGGATGAGACCATAGGAGGACAGGATGAGGGACAAGGGCACCAGGAGCATTAACACACAGCAGATGTACATGGCGTTTTCGAAGACTGAAGTGTCAGCACAAGCCAAACGCACCAGCACGGGGGCCTCGCAGAAGAAATGATCGAGCTCGTGCGCCCCGCAATACGGGAAGCTCAGGGAAGCAGCAGCCTGCAGGAGCCCGTCAGCTGCACCCAGGAGCCAACACGACATGGTCATCCTCAGGCACAGCTGCCAGCTCATGAGCATGGGATATCGGAGTGGGTGGCAGACAGCCGCGCAGCGGTCATAGGCCATGGCTGCTAAGAGGAAGCACTCTCCACCCGCCAGCGTGAGCAGGAAGAAGATCTGCGCACCGCAGCCGGCAGGGGAGATGGCCTTATTTCCGGTCAGGTAGTCAGCCGCCATTTTGGGCACAGTGGTGGAAACCAGCATCATGTCCATGAGGGAGAGTTGGCTCAGGAGGAAGTACATGGGCGTGTGGAGCCAGCGGTCCCGGTGAATCAGGAGAATCATGAGGGCATTGCCAAACAGGGAGGTCAAAACAATGGCCAGAAGCATCATGAAGAGGACTTGGTGGGCTGTGGTGTGGTTAAAGAGTCCTAGGAGAATAAAGTCTGAGGTAGTATTTCTCATCTCCGTAATTTCCACGGGTGTGATGATGCAAATGGAAAAATAGATAAGGAAGAGGCTTTTATCATCTGAATAACGAGCTAATTTCCCTCTTTGATTCGTAGAAAATTCACAAATGTCATGGTTTGCATATTTGCAGGATTGTAGACCTCATCTCAGAAACAGATGGTCTCATTCAGGGACCTCCAGAAAGGCAGGGCCAAGGACTCATTAAATTACTACATCCACCATGTGAGCATTCAGATGTGAGCAGACACAAACACACAGAAACACGAGCATCTTTGAGATGATACCTTGTCTGTGACTAAAACAACACTTCATAGATATGAAACCATTTTTAAGTTGTTTCCTGTTTTATACTTACTCCAAGTACTACTTACTCATTATAGTTACTGTTATTCTCTCCCAACATTTACCAACATCAAATATTCTCTCATTCTCTTATTCTCTCAGGGAAATAAGCAGAGATTATAGGACAATAAAACCAGCAAAATAGGCAAGGATTCTACCTAATCAAGCTGTGCCAAGCCTTGTCAGTTGCATTACTGTCCTCCTATGTAGTGTATACACTCCCCTTATTTTACATACTATTTAAAGTATCTTTCTCATGTGATTGCCACAGCCCACTGACTCCTTGACTGCAGACCTCAACTGCCTCCATTATAACTGTAAACCACTCTCAGACTCATTTTATTAATGCAGAATGCATGGATAAAAGAGCACTGGATATGGCATTAAAAAGTCCATGTCAAAAAATCACTACTGTCCAAACCACCATCGCCCATGTATACCTATGTAACAAACCTGCATGTTTGGCACATGTATCCCAGGACTCAAAATAAAATAAAATAAAATAAAATAAAAAAGTGTGCAGAGAAGCACCAAGAAAAAAAAAATCACTACTGTCTAGTCAGCTTTTTCCAGATTACAGTAGGTGTACCACTGCTAGTATGTGTCGTGATTTTAGGAAGGATGTGAAATAACATTTCTACCTGCAAAGTTACATAACTTGTATTTGTGGTAAGAAAAAAAGTAAACATGAAATCATGAGAAAAAAAGAATCATTTCTGTCATTTTACATTATAAGGAGAAAGTTCTATAACATTTTTGTTTCATTTTGTTTACTTATATGTTTTGAACTAGTGGTCCCCAACCTTTTCCACCAATGGAGGTTGTGGGAGAGGGGATGTTTTCGGGATGATACTGTTTCAGCTCAGATCATCAGGCATTAGATTCTCATAAGGAGCATACGATCTAGATCCCTCACACGCGCAGTTCACAATAGGGCTCACACTCCTATGAGAACCTAATGCTGCTGATGATCTGAAGGAGGCAGAACTCAGTGGGTAATGCTCGCTCACCTGCTGCTCACCTCCTGTGCAGCCCAGGTCCTAACAGGCCACCGATTAGCACTGAACTTTCTAAAAAGGTTACTACAAAAAATTACATGAGTTTTGCACATAAAAGACTTTGAAAATAGTTTTTTAAGTCATATTGCATACTGAAACAAAATTTTTATTTTTAATTTTTTAGTTTAGATCATTTTATGTTGTCATTTATTCATATATTCAGACGCTTAAAAATCACAGCATAAAACATTAATTAGATTAGTGAGCTGAATGCTATGTTGACATGACAGTGAAAGTCTAAGATTTGAAAATTCGTAGACTTTCTAAATGCTTATACTTTTTCATTCTAAATGGTTATACTTCTTCAGAATTGAATTCTCTTCTCTACAGGTGGAGGCAAAGAGTAAACATCTCTTTAATTTGGAACCATTGCTCTTTTATTTAACATTAAAATGTAACAAAAATCAATAAACCTGTATTATCCTAAGCTGTGAAAAATTATGATGTATAATATTGTTAGAGATTAGACTTTTCAGCACATTGTATCAGTCAGATAATTTAATAGAAAATTAGTTTTACTACATTAATTCTTTCAGGTATGCAAAGGTATTCCAGCTTGATTGTTTTTACTAATTATCATTTTTGAATAAAGGATTTTTTGGCACTTTAAATATACAGCTATATTTATTTCTCAAGTGGAATATTTATCTCTCAATTAAAGGCTATATTAACTCAGCAAATTATAAGAATGTGAAAAAATGCTGATAAATATTTCTTCTTTAGGTCAATTTGTGAGCTGATATTAATTCTAAGCTACTAAATAGGGTACCTGGACTTTAAAAAAACATTTTAATACTTTTGTATTTTTATGTATAAAATACATATTTTTAATATATTTTTCCACATATTTATATATACATTTCTATCATATATATTTATATTTATTTCTATTTGTCTTTCTTAGCTCTTCAAGGCACTTTATTTAGAAATAGCTGAGGAATGTTGTGTCTATTAATGTCAAAACCATGCCCTTTCTGAAGTTGGTAGGTAAACTGATTTTCATCCCCTTCCCCACATTCATACTTACTTGAAAACACCACAGGTCACTGTTCTGTACCATTAGAGTTCCACTCAACAGCCTCCTTCTCTCTTCTTTCTGACATCCTACCCTCCACAAAGGCAGTGTCTCTATGTCCACAAGCTATTGATATAACATGGAGAAATTATTGAAACAGCCATACTGTTCAGAGAAAAAAAAATCCTCTAATACAAGTTCAATCATTTGACCTAATTAACTACTTTATTCAATAATTTTTGACTTGGTGTTTCTGGGTGGACACAGACTGCTTTTTACATTTTCAAAACACCCTGTGGATGACAGGAAAACATTTAATTTGTGTGATTTGTGCCTGCAACTTTACAAAGGTTGCTTTGCAATTCAAAATTCATGTATAAAATGCCAAATACATAATAAATGAGTAATTTGAAATTACTACCTAAAATTAAAGAAAAATAATTATCAAACAAATTGACTCACGTTTGTAGTAGAGAATCACAGCCAGTGTGACATATATATGGGACTGAATCTTTCTGATGGGTTGAGTACAAATGTTTGCTTAACCTTAGTATTATGAATACTGCTTTGTACTTCTGGTCTCATGCTCTATTTAGTTAAAAGTCCTATGTGGTCACTGAAAGTTTCTAACAACCAAATACCTTCCCTTGGAAAGGTAAATCACCTTTGGCAAGGGAATACAGATTTCAGTATTTCCTAAGGGTAAATGAATGTAATCAATTAATTTAGCACCCAAGTTTTGCTAAAAGCAAGAACAATCTGAATGGGAATGTGAACAGATATGTCCCTCTTAAGGATAGCAAGCACAATGAATTAGTGAAAAGAAAGTCTAGAACTCTGATCATTGATAATCCCTGAATATATGTGACTTAATTACCTGAAATAAAGTTTTAAATTTTCTGAAATTGTATCATGACAATAATAATACATTTTATTTATTGAACATTTCTATATGCTAGTGAATATGCTCAGCATTTTACATGCATTTACATACATGTTATTTAATCTTTTAATTGTTTATTCTATGAACTTTTACATTAATATAGCAATGTAAATAATGTTAATGGTTTTAAATACCATACTTATATTTAACTATCACAAGGTAGCAGAGTGGAAGAACTTTAATGTTCAAATCATAGATTTGTGGTTCTTAAAGGTTGAGGAACATCTGAATCACTCAGAATACTTAGGAATTACACTTTGAGAAATACTGTCTTTTATTTAAAAAAATCTGAAGGTGAATTTTGACTATTTTGAACTGGGCCGCAATGCTTTGATATCCTGTAAACTAATTAATTCCCAACTTTACAAGTTTAAATGTTTTTGCGTTTTGTTTTTAATCTCACTTCTATTTCTTACCTATTTCATGATTTTGGACAAAATGATCTTCATGTTCCTTTCATATAAAAGGTGCACAATAAAAATTGCTTACTTTGTAGCATTATTGGAAGGAATAAATAAAATATTGGTAAACCATCTGGGAGAGTATCTGGCCCACAGTATATTCTCTATCCATGTTCATTGATATCATTATTGTAATTGTTCTGAAATAAAAAACAGTCCCTGTAAGGCAGAGTAATGTTGATTCTGGCCTACATAGTATGAAAAGTGATCTAAAATAAGGTAAGGGTAGGGTAGCCTGTTCTTTCGGTGTTTAACAGTTCTGCTCAAAGACTATTTAGTGCTCTGGGTGAGTGCTTCTGTGTTTGATTCGCCATTTACCATAAATTAGGGACCAGAATCTGTGAAGCTGTTATGTCAAGCAGACATGTAAATAATTTCTGTCCATGCTATGTTAGACATCAACCAGTTTTATACTAATTGGAAACAAAACAAAAATAATGAATTTTTTTTTTTGAAATCAAATTCACAGTGGCTTTTCCAATACCACTTCTCCAACTCTCACACCAACTAGGTGTCTTACTATTCAAGTTAATCCTGACACTGACTGGAGTCTGGAGCATCAGACTCCAGATGCTGCAGGAGTCAATCCCACAAGACTCCTTCCCTTCAGATGCCAGTCTCAAGTAGCGGGTATCCAGGTTACTTCCACCTGATTTGGATACAAACTTGGAGGATCCCACAACCACTCTGCTTCAGGTTATACAACTGGCTAGAACGAAGCATGGAAATGAGGAAAATGCTACACTCACTATTATAGTTTATTATAAAGAACGCAAATGAAGACTCAAATGAAGAGGTACATCTGGGAAGCTCTGGAAGGGTCCCAAGCACAGGAGCTCCTGTGCCACCCACTGGGCAAGTAAATGTGTTTGCGAACTCAGAAGCTCCCTGAACCCTGTCATTATGGGTTTTGTGGTTGTTTCATTATATAGACATTAATGTGGCTGTTGGTAATTGACTCAATCTCCAGCCCCCACCTCTCCAGAAGTTGGGTCATGGGGCTTGAGATGGAGCAGGGAGCCCTCTTAGTGACCTGCAAGTTCCTCCAAGTACAGAGATAAACGAAAGCTTAAGTTCCTTCAGGGAAATTCCAGGCACCTAGATAGTCCTGAGAAATAAATGAGCAACTTGATAAGTAAGAAGATAATAACAGTCTAGTATAATTGCCGAGGAAATTAAAATCACAGGATGCTTAGTTCCTTTATCAAAACTAGAGATAACATCATAAAATATGTCCATGAGTTGTTTTTCAGACCTTTGGAATCCCACTAGATAGATCTACTGGCACATAGACCTCAGATAAGAAGGAACTGAGGACAGAACTCAGACCACCATCTTTTCTTCTGAATTTCTTCCTGAAGGTCCTGGAGGAAGTCACACCCACGAATGAGAGCAAACATTCTTTTCTGCTGACTCCAATTTTTTAGACAAAGCTTTACCTCCTTAACGAATCACAAATTGGAAAATTTTTTAATCTCCCTATGATGTGTGGGTCCCCCACTTTGAGATGTCCCATTTTTTCAGGTTAAACTCATGTATAACCTCCATATATTGATTTATGACTTTGCCTGTAACATTTGCCCTTCTTCCTTTAAAAACTTAACTGTAAGCCATCCATCAGAGAGTTCAGGTCTTAAGCATTAGCTGCCCACTTCTCCTTGCTTGGTCCCCTGTAATAAATTCCTCCCGTTCTCTTGCTGCAATCCACATGTGAGCATTTAACTTTGCTCTATCAGGCAGGCTGACTTGAGTTTCATTTGGTAACATATCTGTGGAATTGGGGTGTGCCACTATCAGGGTGTGTTTGCTAACACAGAAGCTCCCTGAACCCTTCCATTTAGTTTTCTTTGAATTTCTAGTTTTTGGTGTACATGTGCAAGTCTGTCATACAGGTAAATTGTATGTCACAGATGTTTGATATACAGATTATTTTGTCACGCAGGAAATAAGCATAGTACCCAATAGGCGGTTTCTCATTCTCTCTCACCTTCCACCCGCAAGTAGGCCCGGTGTCTGCTGTTCCCTTCTTTGTGTCCATGTGTACTTAATGTTTAGATTCCACTTATAATGAAAACATGCAGTATTTGGTTTGTAGTTCCTTTGTTGGTTTGCTTAGGCTAATGGCCTCCACTTCATCCAGGATGCTGCAAATGCATTATTTCAGTCTTTTTATGGATGCATAATGTTTCATGGTGTATATGTACTACATTTTCTTTGTCCAGTCTACTATTGATGGGCATGGAGGTTGATTCCATGTCTTTGCTATTGTGAATAGTGCTGGAATGAACATACATGTGCAGGTTATTTTATTGTAGAACAATGTATACTCCTTTGGGTATACAAGTAATATTGAGATGAGTGGCTTGAGTGGTAGTTCTGTTTTTTTTTTTGTTTGTTTGTTTGTTTTTGTTTTTTTTCTTTTTTATTATTTTTCTTTTTTTTAATTTATTTATTATTATTATACTTTAAGTTGTAGGGTACATGTGCATAACGTGCAGGTTTGTTACATATGTATACTTGTGCCATGTTGGTGTGCTGCACCCATCAACTTGTCATTTACATCAGGTATAACTCCCAATGCAATCCCTCCCCCCTCCCCCCTCCCCATGACAGGCCCCTGTGTGTGATGTTCCCCTTCCTGAGTCCAAGTGATCTCATTGTTCAGTTCCCACCTATGAGTGAGAACATGCGGTGTTTGGTTTTCTGTTCTTGTGATAGATTGCTAAGAATGATGGTTTCCAGCTGCATCCATGTCCCTACAAAGGACACAAACTCATCCTTTTTGATGGCTGCATAGTATTCCATGGTGTATATGTGCCACATTTGCTTAATCCAGTCTGTCACTGATGGACATTTGGGTTGATTCCAAGTCTTTGCTATTGCGAATAGTGCTGCAATAAACATACGAGTGCATGTGTCTTTATAGCAACATAATTTATAATCCTTTGGGTATATACCCAGTAATGGGATGGCTGGGTCATATGGTACATCTAGTTCTAGATCCTTGAGGAATCGCCATACTGTTTTCCATAATGGTTGAACTCGTTTTCAATCCCACCAACAGTGTAAAAGTGTTCCTATTTCTCCACATCCTCTCCAGCACCTGTTGTTTCCTGACTTTTTAATGATCGCCATTCTAACTGGTATGAGATGGTATCTCATTGTGGTTTTGATTTGCATTTCTCTGATGGCCAGTGATGATGAGCATTTTTTCATGTGTCTGTTGGCTGTATGAATGTCTTCTTTTGAGAAATGTCTGTTCATATCCTTTGCCCACTTTTTGATGGGGTTGTTTGTTTTTTTCTTGTAAATTTGCTTGAGTTCTTTCTGGTTCTGGATATTAGCGCTTTGTCATATGAGTAGATTGCAAAAATTTTCTCCCATTCTGTAGGTTGCCTGTTCACTCTGATGGTAGTTTCTTTTGCTGTGCAGAAGCTCTTTAGTTTAATGAGATCCCATTTGTCAATTTTGGCTTTTGCTGCCGTTGCTTTTGGCGTTCTAGACATGAAGTCTTTGCCCATGCCTATGTCCTGAATGGTACTACCTAGGTTTTCCTCTAGGATTTTTATGGTATTAGGTCTAACATTTAAGTCTGTAATCCATCTTGAATTAATTTTCGTATAAGGAGTAAGGAAATGATCCAGTTTCAGCTTTCTACTTATGGCTAGCCAATTTTCCCAGCACCATTTATTAAATAGGGAATCCTTTCCCCATTTCTTGTTTCTCTCAGGTTAGTCAAAGATCAGATGGCTGTAGATGTGTGGTATTATTTCTGAGGACTCTGTTCTGTTCCATTGGTCTATATCTCTGGTTTGGTACCAGTACCATGCTGTTTTGGTTACTGTAGCCTTGTAGTATAGTTTGAAGTCAGGTAGCGTGATGCCTCCTGCTTTGTTCTTTTGACTTAGGATTGTCTTGGAGATGCGGGCTCTTTTTTGGTTCCATTTGAACTTTAAAGCAGTTTTTTCCAATTCTGTGAAGAAACTCATTGGTAGCTTGATGGGGATGGCATTGAATCTATAAACAACCTTGGGCAGTATGGCCATTTTCACGATATTGATTCTTCCTATCCATGAGCATGGTATGTTCTTCCATTTGTTTGTGTCCTCTTTTATTTCACTGAGCAGTGGTTTGTAGTTCTCCTTGAAGAGGTCCTTTACATCCCTTGTAAGTTGGATTCCTAGGTATTTTATTCTCTTTGAAGCAATTGTGAATGGAAGTTCATTCCTGATTTGGCTCTCTGTTTGTCTGTTACTGGTGTATAAGAATGCTTGTGATTTTTGCACATTAATTTTGTATCCTGAGACTTTGCTGAAGTTGCTTATCAGCTTAAGGAGATTTTGGGCTGAGACAATGGGCTTTTCTAAATATACAATCATGTCATCTGCAAACAGGGACAGTTTGACTTCTTCTTTTCCTAACTGAATACCATTGATTTCTTTCTCTTGCCTAATTGCCCTAGCCAGAACTTCCAACACTATGTTGAATAGGAGTGGTGAGAGAGGGCATCCCTGTCTTGTGCCAGTTTTCAAAGGGAATTTTTCCAGTTTTTGCCCATTCAGTATGATATTGGCTGTGGGATTGTCATAAATAGCTCTTATTATTTTGAGGTACGTTCCATCAATACCGAATTTATTGAGCGTTTTTAGCATGAAGGGCTGTTGAATTTTGTCAAAAGCCTTTTCTGCATCTATTGAGATAATCATGTGGTTCTTGTCTTTGGTTCTGTTTATATGCTGGATTATGTTTATTGATTTGCGAATGTTGAACCAGCCTTGCATCCCAGGGATGAAGCCCACTTGATTATGGTGGATAAGCTTTTTGATGTGTTGCTGAATCCGGTTTGCCAGTATTTTATTGAGGATTTTTGCATCGATGTTCATCAGGGATATTGGTCTAAAATTCTCTTTTTTTGTTGTGTCTCTGCCAGGCTTTGGTATCAGGATGATGTTGGCCTCATAAAATGAGTTAGGGAGGATTCCCTGTTTTTCTATTGATTGGAATAGTTTCAGAAGGAATGGTACCAACTCCTCCTTGTACCTCTGGTAGAATTCAGCTGTGAATCCATCTGGTCCTGGACTTTTTTTGGTTGGTAGGCTATTAATTATTGCCTCAATTTCAGAGCCTGCTATTGGTCTATTCAGGGATTCAACTTCTTCCTGGTTTAGTCTTGGAAGAGTGTAAGTGTCCAGGAAATTATCCATTTCTTCTAGATTTTCCAGTTTATTTGCGTAGAGGTGTTTATAGTATTCTCTGATGGTAGTTTGTATTTCTTTGGGGTCGGTGGTGATATCCCCTTTATCATTTTTAATTGCGTCGATTTGATTCTTCTCTCTTTTCTTCTTTATTAGTCTTGCTAGTGGTCTGTCAATTTTGTTGATCTTTTCAAAAAACCAACTCCTGGATTCATTGATTTTTTGGAGAGTTTTTTGTGTCTCTATCTCCTTCAGTTCTGCTCTGATCTTAGTTATTTCTAGCCTTCTGCTAGCTTTTGAATGTGTTTGCTCTTGCTTCTCTAGTTCTTTTAATTGCGATATTAGAGTGTCAATTTTAGATCTTTCCTGCTTTCTCTTGTGGGCATTTAGTGCTATAAATTTCCCTCTACACACTGCTTTAAATGTGTCCCAGAGATTCTGGTATGTTGTATCTTTGTTCTCATTGGTTTCAAAGAACATCTTTCTTTCTGCCTTCATTTCGTTATGTACCCAGTAGTCATTCAGGAGCAGGTTGTTCAGTTTCCATGTAGTTGAGCGGTTTTGATTGAGTTTCTTAGTCCTGAGTTCTAGTTTGATTAC